GAGGAAGAGGAGGAGGAGGAAGAGGAGGAGGAGGAGGAGGAGGAGGAGGAGGAGGACGAGCGATGGGGGGCGAGAACAAATGGACGAACGAACGAACGAACGTGTGCAGCTGGCTTTCCTGGCGCTGGGATGCGCCGAAAACGACCATGCATCGAGGTTTGCGTGCCGGGCGGCGGGGTCAAAACCAGCTGCATGCAGCAGACGGCGCCCCGCCTCGGACTCCGCCCCCTCGCCGCCGCCCCGAGGAGGAGGGCAAGGACGAGGGAGTCGCTGGCCCGCGGGCCCCGAAGCCGGGCGGCTGCGGCGGCTGCGACTGGGGCCGCCAGGCTGGGGCTGACATGGCTGCGAGAGACGCGGGCTGGCGGGCGGACGGACACCCCCCTGCTCCCCGTTCCCCCCCCCCCTCCTCCCCCTCCTCCCTCGCTCGGCCGTCGTCTGCGCCGTCCTCCTCCTTGTGCGTCAGGCCGGCTTGCAGCCACCGGGCTCGCTGTGCCAGTCTCCTCCCCCTCCGCCTCCTCCTCCTTGCAGGAGCCCCCCGGGCTCCCCAGGCCAGGCACTGAAGGAGGCGCGACGGCGGCCTCAGCGCCAAGCTCCTGCAGGCTCTGAAGCCCTGAGGCGATCCGCGCTGACCTTTGAGAAAAGGATTGTTTTCAACGCGACTGGCCTCCGCAAATATTCCGCTGGTAAGGCCGCCCTCGTTTTACTTCCGCGGGCTTCCGCGGATCTCTCGCTGGCCACCGCCGAGGGGCAGAGGCCACCACGTCGCCCCCGTTCGTACCGAGGCCGGTCATGGAGCAGCTCGCATGCGCAGTCAGTGTGGCGCCCGCCGACGGTCTTCCCAGGAAGCGCGCCTGCTGGGCCCTCGCGTGAGGCGGGCTTGCTCAAGGGTCCAGGCAGGCCTGCTTCAGGGGTCCAGGCAGGAAGCGTGAGAGGAGCGCAGGGGAGCGGAGGTGAGGGGCAGGAGGGATCAAGGGACCGAGCAAGAGACGGCGAAACATCCCTGTCATCCTGCCTCTCCCCAACCGCTTCTCCTCCTTCCCTTTGCTCTCCCGTCACCTCCCCGCCGCCCTCCCCACTTTTGAGGGGCAGCGATAAGGGGGGGGGCTGGCATAAGGGGGGGATTTATCGACCTGGAATCGGCGATCCATCGCCGACAGATCGGCGACAGGCCCCTGATAGTGAATCCGCATCTTCCTGGGCAGGTTGGGGCTATCGGGCCCCTTTAGGCGATCAACGGGCGATTGCGTGTCGATGCATTCCCCCCCTATGCGTATCCCCCCCTTATCGTTGCCCCTGAACTATGTATATATGTATGTATACGTTCCTATTCATATGTGTATGTATGTATATATATATATATATATAAATAAGGTCGGGGACCCCGGAAAGAGCGCACCTCCCTGACCCCCCAAAAAACGCATTTCGAATCCTCGGGCCTGTCTTGCGCCTTGGGTGCTCTCTGATTTTCGACTCTCCGAGCCCTCTTGAGCGAGCCAGAGGCCTCTTTGGAGCTCGTCTGGGGACTCATTTGGAGCCGTCCTAGGGCTATCTCGACGCCTCAAGAGCCGACCGTAAGCGAGAAGGCGAGAAGACCGAAAGCATTGTTTCCCCAATGGGTTTTCATCGATTTCCAATGGACTCATTTGGAGCCGTCCTGGGGCTATCTTGACGCCTCAAGAGCCGATCGTAAGCGAACAAGCGACAAGGCCAAAACATTGATTTCCCGATGGCTTTCCATTGAATTTCAATTCTGTGGGCCTTCTTCGGCCAACCTTGGGCCTCTGTGGGCCTCGGCTTGCGCCTCTCTGGAGCCATCCTGAGGCAATCTTGACGCCTCCCGAACCGACGGGAAGCGAAAAGGCGAGAAGACCAGACACATGGCTTTTCCTCTTTAACTTATATAGTTATATACATATACATATACATATATATACATACATAGATACACACACATATATATATATATATATATATATATATATGTGTATATATATATATATCTATAACCTCGGGGCCGTCTAGGGTCAGTCAGTGCCCTCTTTGGGGCTCGTCTGGGGACTCACTTGGAGCTGTCTTGGGCCTATCTTGATGCCTCTAGAGCCACTTGGACACGACAAAGTGAGAAGACCAAGAACATTGATTCTGCAATGGGTTATCACGGATTTTCAATTCTTTGGGCCCTCTTCGGCCAGCCTTGGGCCTCTGTGGGCCTCGGCTTACGCCTCTCTGAGACCATCCTGGGGTCATCTTGACGCCTCTCGAGCCAACCGGAAAAGAAAAGCGAGAAGGCCGAACACATTGCTTTTCCAAGGAGTTTTCTCTGATTTCCCACTCTCAGGGCCCTGTTGAGCCAGCCTTGGGCCTCTTTGGGGCTCGTCTGGGGACTCATTTGGAGCCGCAGTGGGGCTATCTTGACGCCTCAAGAGCCGATCGTAAGCGAAATGCGAGAGGGCAACAAAACATTGATTTTCCAATGGGGGAGGAGGAGGACGAGGAGGAGGAGAAAGAGGAGGAATTCAACGAAAAGGGGGAGAGAGGAGAACGATGATGAGGATGAGTAGAAAGAAGAGGAAAAGGGGGAGGAGGAGAAAGAGGAGGAGGAGGAGGATGCCCTGCTTCATGCTAGCCCAACCACTCGCCTGAGACAGATTCGCGCCCTTGGGCCCCGAAACGCCCTGAGATGGCCTCAGTGAGGAACTCCTCACCCATTCCGACTTGGCGGTGGCCCGCCCCATGTCCACGCGCACGCACGCCGCCTGCATTCGAAAGTACAAGTAACAAGGTGCATGGCGCGAAGCGCCAATGCAGTCTTGTGTATACCTGTGGCACGTGTGTGACCAGGCTCATACAAAAACTGCGAGGTCGTTTGGAGCAGGAAGACGGGCTGGCGGAATGAGCGAAGCGATTAACAAGAGAGAAGTGTAGCCACGCTTCCCACCAGCCGATTTGTTTCGCTAGATGTGGAGGGCAGAGAAGGACGAGAAGAGGAGGAGGATAGCTGCTGGGAGTGAAATGCAATAGCGGGGTCGCACTCGAGCGCAAGCGGGGTTGCCACACCTTGCGATGTGTGTACCGAGCCTCGCCCGACCAGGAGACCGCACGAGGCTCCAGGAGGCCGAAGGAGAGTACGTCTGGGCTCGAAGTTGCGAGGATGTCCATGGAGGCCGCAAGAGGCTCCAGGAGGCCAGACCAAGAGACCGCAGGCCCAAGGAGGCCCCAGGAGGCCCCAGGAGCTTCCAGGAGGCCCCCTAGGAGGCTCCGAGGCGGGTTCTGGGGTACCAGAAGGTACGTCGGGGCTCGATTTTCGGAGGATGTCTCGGGCGAAACCGCCATTCTTTGAGAATCGGGGTCAAAATCTTTGAATTACATGATCTTTTTAAAGGTTACGTGTTAGAATGTTGAAATTCCCATGTGTTTTTGGACCCTGACGTCACGATCTGTGTGATGGGTGCCACCGATTCTCAGAATTTCGAGGATGTCCCTGGCGAGCCGGCCAGAAAAATCAGAGACGCGGCGCGGCCTTCAATTAGTCGCCTCTGAGCTCTACTCCCTCGGAGAGGTGTGTATGATAATATATACTTATATATAAACACATCATATCTAATATGTTCTATGCTTGTGTTTATATATAAATATATAGTTGTAGGTATGTGTGTATACATATATATATATATGTTTATATCCCTGTATGTGTATGTATATATATATATATATTTATCCTGAGTGTTAGCCTTTCCCCTCCCGGTGCCTCCCAGTCCACACCCCGATCACCCCTCTCTTGCACTTCCCCCCAGCAGAAGCCTCTCGCCCCTCCCTCGGGCGCGGCCCGACACAGCCCCTTCCGTGCCCGCCCCCCCCTCCGTGACGATCCCCTCGCCCTCGAGGCCTCCCCTCTGGTCGCCTGCCCGCCTCGTGGGGCGCGGGGAGCCGTCTCGGAGAAGGGCCGGCTTGCCGGGGGACCCCCCCCGACGAGGAGACCGGCCATCGGCCCGCCGCACCCGTCCCGGCCCCGGCAGCACCAGCACCCTGAGCCGGCGTCGGCCAGACACACACCAGGACCAAACCAAACGCAAGTCCCCCTCCTCCTCCTCCTCCTCCTCCTCCTCCTCCTCCTCCCCCTCCTCCTCCTCCCCTCCTTCTCCTCCTCCTCCTCCTCCTCCTCCTCCTCCTCCTCCCCCTCCTTTTCCTCCTCCTCCTCCTCCTCCTCCTCCTCCTCCTCCTCCTCCCTCTCCGCCCCATTCCGAGGGCGGGCGGCCAGGAGGGCGTCCTGCACAGATCCTGGAGAGACCCTCAGGCAGGGCGCCAGGCTCGGGCAGCCGCTGGGCGGAGGAGGGAGAAGGAGGAAGAGGAGGGGAGGGAAGAGGATGAGGAGAACGAGGAAGAGGATGATGATGCTGATGATGGTGATGATGCTGCTGATGATGATGATGATGATGATGATGATGATGGTGATGCTGATGATGATGGTGCTGCTGCTGATGATGATGATGATGATGATGATGGTGGTGGTGGTGATGGTGATGGTGATGATGCTGATGACGATGGTGGTGGTGATGGTGGTGATGATGATGATAATGGTGATGATGGTGGTGGTGATGGTGATGGTGATGATGCTGATGATGCTGCTGTTGATGATGATGCTGATGATGATGCTGATGATGATGATGATGATGGTGGTGGTGATGGTGATGGTGATGATGCTGATGATGATGGTGGTGATGGTGATGATGATGATGATGATGATGATGGTGATGATGATGGTGATGATGATGGTGATGGTGATGATGGTGATGGTGATGATGATGATGATGGTGATGATGATGGTGATGATGATGATGATGGTGATGATGATGGTGATGCTGATGGTGATGATGATGATGATGATGATGAGGAGGAGGAGGAGGAGGAGGAGGAGGGGACAGCAAAACCTGGGCCGTGATTGGCGCGAGTGGATGGGCGGCGTCCCTCGACTGCCGCGCGGGCGGGGGGGGGGGGGCTGCCTGGTGCCCCTGTCACCGTCGGCCCGCCTCACCGCGGCCAAATACGAGCACATCACCTCGTGGATCTGGCCAGCCAGCTCCCGCGTGGGGGCGAGGACCGCACAGCCCACCTTCCGAGGGGGGGGCGCCACGCCTCCGCCGCCACCGCGGCCACTGCTGCCGGGGAGCGACCGCGGAGCGCAAGACGCAAGGCGAGACAGCAAATGCGTGCGCCTCTCGGTGCGGTGCTCTGCTCACTCGGGCCAGTGCAAACCCGGGTCAGTCGGGTTTTGCAGTCGGTCGGGCCTGTCCCCCTACAGGCGGATTTTGGGTGAAAAATTTAAAGCACCCCCCAAAATACCCCCAAATACTCAAACATGTTTTAAAACATCGTCCTAAGAGTATCTTTTGACTACTTTGAATATCCCACCTGTAGAGGGACAGGCCCGACTTAAGCCTTGCAAAATCCTGCAACATCCTGCGGGATCCTGCAAGAGCCTGCGCGCTGGCCCGGGTCGGTGCAGCCCTGGCGCTGCAGGATCCTGCAAGATCCGGCGCTCTGGCTGCCCCCCGCTTGCATTGACCCCCCGTCTGTCGACGAGCGCGTTCCACTACTCGCAAAGGAACTACTCGCAAATGGCCTGGATCCCCCGCAGAGGACATACGATACATCACACCAAAGCGGACATGTGTTTTTCGGCCTTTTGCGAGTAGGCACTTTGCGAGTAGTGAAGCGCGCTCGGTGATGTTGGGGGGCAGACAAACCTACCTGTTGACCACCCTCGCTTCCAAGAGATACCAAGCGATGCCAAACTACGGCCTGTACTGGTCAGGCCGCTTGACGAGGAGGCGCGTGGTATGACTTGGTTTTGCCTGGAAGCGAAAGCGGGGTAGGTAATTCACGCTCTGAGATGCACTGACCCCCGTCTCAAGGTTTCTGGTCGGTGCTCCGTCCGCCCCTTGCCGGCGCTGGCGGTGGCGAGGGCGGGCGCCCGGGCCACCGCCACGCCCATCTCCGCGCGACACCGCGCCGCCACTGCTGCTGCTGCCGCTCCTCTGCCTCGGCCTCGTGCAGCCGCGAAGTGGGCGCGCCCGCCGAACCAGACGAGCAGGCGCGCAGCGAGAAGCTCGCAGAGCTCAAAACGCACAACAAAACAAGTCTCAATACCGGTCTAGCACCGGCCCGAAACAGGCCCGGAGGCCCGATGGCCCCAGGAGGGGCAATGGGCCATCGGTCCCGCCAGACTGCACGCCAGGAGAAGGACTGCACACCAGGAGAAGAAACTGAGGACGTCGTAGACGGCAGTGTTGAACAATGAATCCAACTGAGCTGAAAACGCTAAAACAACGTAGCTGAAAACGCAACACAATGAGTCGTTGTTTTGGCGTTTTTGCATTTCTTGTTGGGACCTAGAAGCGATCAACAAATCATTCCCAGCACGCCGAATTAAAACACAAAAGCGGTAAATGACGCCCTGGGCACAGTTAAGAAGAGCCACGTAGATGGTCCGAATTTTCGGGCGTTGGCCTCGCTGACAGAAGTACCAACGCCCGAGCGATGCCGAATGAGGCTTCGGGCTGCGCGCAGGCAGCCCCGCCGGGCAGTCTCAGCTGGCCCCAACAGGCCTTCCGAGCATCCCAGTGCGGCCTCAACACTCCAGCGCCGTCTGGGGCGCTCCGCGCCCCAGGGGTTCGGGGTGCTGAGACCGCCCTGGACTACCCGGGAGGTCTGTTAAGGCCAGCGGGGGCTACCAGAGGTAGCTGTCGGAGCGCATTCCTGCTCCTTACCAGAGGGCAGATTCAGGTCGGGCCTGTCCCCCTATACAGGGGGATTTCTGACGAAAATTTAAAGATACCCCACACATTGGTCATTGGTCCCCAGACTATTTTTTGACTATTTTTGAAGATTCCCCCTGTAGAGGGACACGCCCGACTGAAGGGTAAATCGGCAATCTCCGAAAGCTGCTGGCCTGGAGGATGCCTCGGGCGCCGCAGCCGCGCCAGAGCGCTCCCGATAACGCTCTGGGAGCGCCCCGCTGGGACGCCCTAAGACCGAGCCGCCCGCCCGCCTGCCGCCAGCCCGCCCGACCGCACGCGAACCCGCCCGCCCGACACGCCGACCGCCTGCCGCCCGCCCGCCTGCGAGCGCCGCGGCCGCCCACGGCGGCGGCGGCGCAGCCCGCGAGCGGCGCGGCCGCGCCCGCCTGCCTGACCGCCCGCCCTGCCTGCAGCAGCGGGCCCTGGAGGACTCGCTCGCGGACCCGGGGGCGTCCTGCGCCGATCAGCCCGAGCGGGGCCCCGCCGTCGCGGGTCGAGAGCCGACGGCCCGTCCGTGCGGGTGGCGGCGACCCGTCGCTGGCGCGTGGGCCCCAGGAGTGCTTTGATTGTAAGCAGAAGATTCCTGACCTAGTCTGTTATGCGCATCACGAGATGTCTCGCTCTTGCGCAACCCAACTCCGACGTGGGCCGCGCCGAGGCGACTCACAACTCAAACAGAGGCCGTGCACGTCGTACCGCCACACGGCCTCCACTCGGCCCGCGCTGAAACGGAGGGAGCAGCCAATCGCCATCGGGGTTCGACAGCTCACCGCCGAACGGGCTGCTGGAGCGGCCATCGGGCAGCCAATGCCTGCCTCATCGCGGAGGGGCACCGCGCGCAAACTTCGCAATCATCGTCTAGGAAGCAGCCGTCGAATCCGCCGCGACTGACAGACCGCGTGCGTCTGACAGGCACTCGGACGCGCGCGCGCGGGGCCGCGGCAGCCGTGAGAACAAGGACACGGCGGGCCACCCTCATGCGGCCACATCTGCCCGCCTGAATGCACGACGAAGCAAGACCCCACCCTGCGCCTCGTGCGCCTGTCGCGGCGACGGAAGGCCAGATCAGCATCCACGCCTCGGTGCGGCAAGGCAGCGCGGCACGGCGCACCGAGGCGCTCCCGCCCCATCGGCAAGCCCCCTGCCACAGCGGCGCGCCACGGCGCCCCACGGCAGCGCGGCACCGCACGCCACGGCACCTCCGCCACACCAGCTTGCGTCCTTGGCGCCCGCAGGCCCTGATTAGGGGCAGTCAGTGAGTGACGCAAAAGGGGGGCGGGTTGGACACGAGTAGACCACGCGCTCTCGGCGACGCTCGAGGGCGCTCGGAGCCCGCGCGCTCGGAGAGTACACCACGGCCTGGCCCGGCCTGGTACGCCCAGCATCCCATGCCCGCACAACATCTTCGGGGCGGAGATCAGCGGCGCCCCCTCTTGGAAAATGCCCCACGGCACGGCACGGTATAATACGGCCTAAGCCTAACACCTAACACCCTCAGCATGCCAGATCACCAACGGCACCACTCAAACAGCGGCCTGGCACAGTTCGGCGACGAGCCTGGGTGGGGCCCGAGGGGCGGGCCTTCTCAGAAGGCCTGGAAGGCCTCCAGCCTTCTGAGAAACTTCGAAAGCTTCGCCGGACACAACAGAGACGGCTTCTTAGAACGCCAGGGGGCCCCTGAGAAGCCACACCGCCTTCTGAGAAGGCCTGCCCCTTCCCACTCCCCCACCCGCGCGCGCCACCTAACAATGCCCAAAGCACCCTCAGCGCACCGCGGCACGGCGGCACCAAGCGCCAGTACGGCACGGCACGGAAGCCATGCCAGATTGCCAACGCGCTCCCCCAAGACATCACGGCGCACCACGCGCACAGCACCGGCCGCACCACGCGGCGCAGCACCGACGGACCCACCGGCTTGCCCAGACGCCCCCCCTCACCGCACCACGGCACGGCGCGGCGCGAGGCCAGCGGCGCGGCAGGACGCCAATCCAGCGCCCTCTCAGGAAGGCCGCGCAACAGAGCCCCCACACGCAGCACCCGCTGCTTAAGGAGGCTGCCGTGGATGCTTGCCACGGGCCTCCAGCCGGCCCGAGCGCACCCGGCCACCGTGCCCGCAGCCCCGCCCGGGGACCGCAGGGCGTCTCGGAGCTGCCCCCGCGCACAGGCCGTGCTCGGCTGAGCGGGCCCCCGCTCCCTGCCCGGCTTCTCGCCCGGCGGCGCGCAGAGCAGAGCCCGTCGGGCCGCGAGGGGGCGGCACAGCAGGGAGACTCCCAAGAGGGGCTCGGCGGCCTCCAGGGAGGCCTCTCAAGAGGCCGCCCTCCTCGACGCACCCTCTTCTCTGTAGACGAGCGCGCTCCACTGCTTGCAGAGTAGCTGCTCGCAGGTGGCCTGGATCCGCCGCGGGGCATCCACGGCACATTGCATCGAAGCAGACGTGTTTTTTTTGTTCGGACGTTTGCGAGCAGGCACTTGGCGAGCAGTGGAACGCGCTCGGTGCTTCTAAGTCGCCCAACTTCGCGCGTCGCACCCCGCGATGGGCGCCGCGCGGTCCTCCTCGCGCGCCCGCGGCCGCCGCCCTGGAGAGAGGGCCAGCCTCTCGCGGCCCGGGCCGCGGCGCGCAGGCAGCTCTGCGCCCCTGGGGGAGACCCCGCCCTTTGAAGGGGCCCCAGTAGGGAACCGAACTCCATACGCCGCCGCTGTTTCCGGCCCTGCACTGAGATTTGCACTGGAGGGCGGATCCCTGGTGTGTACGGGGCCCTGGTGTATACGTGTTTCGTTGTTTCCCCAAGGAAACGGGAAAACAGGTATACACCACACCACCCCGACGTCGTCCCCGCTCCTAACAAAAAGCTGGGATACAAGAACAACCCGCCATGGGCAATGTATACGTTCCAGTTTCCGACCCAGGACACACAACTAAAAACACACACACACAGCCCAGGATTCCCCACATTTTCCCACATCTTCGGGGTTCTCGTCTCCAACCCCCCGCTTCCCATCTTTTCCTGCCCTTTCCAAGGAATCGACGACTCCTGGTGTCGGTGTGTGTTTTTCCCCTCCTGACCCTTGCCCGCCGCCGATTCTCTCCTCCTCACCAGAGATCCGCTGTTGTGTTTTTTCCAATGCGCGGTCCCCGGAACCCTGGACCCATTCCCCGGGACCGGCTTTTCTTCCCGAGTCGTTTTCTGATGGTCCCGAGGCCCGGCGAGGGCCCCCGGGGGCCGAAATTTGAGAAAAACCTCCGTCTTGATTTTATCAATGCGCTGGATCTCTGGGTCCCCCCCCTCGGGTCGGACGAAACGGGGCGACAGCAGCGGGGGGTACTCGCATCGGCTCGCACAACTACGGCCGGCATGTCCCCAGCGCCTCCCGGGCGCTGCGAGGCGCCAGCCCAGACGTGCGATGTCCCGACTTTTTCTTTTCCGTGCGGGGCCCCCGGACATCCTCCTCCTTCTCCTGCTCCTCCTCCCCCTCCTCCTCCTGCTTCTCCTCCTCCTCCTCCTCCTCCTCCTTCTCCTCCCCCTTCTCCTCCTCCTCCTCCTCCTCCTCCTCCTGCTCTTCCTCCTCCTGCTCTTCCTCCTCCTCCTCCTCCTCCTCCTCCTCCTCCTCCTCCCCTCCTCCTCCTCCTCCTCCTCCTCCTCCATGCCTGTATCCCCAGGACCGGCTTTCTTCGCCTGGGGCCGTCTTTTCGACGGCCCCGCGGCTCGGCGAGGGCCCCAGGAGACCGAGAACGTCCAAAAACCGCCCGTCATGATGTTGCCACGGCTCGGGCAGGGCTTGAGAAGGTCGTTTCACCGATCCCCAGCCCCAGCGGCGTGGCCTGGGCCCCACTGGCCGATTTGCCCCCCTGGATGGGGATATAGGTCGTTCCCTTCGGGCTTCGAGGGGCCCCAACTGGGGTGGCAATGGCGGTCTCGAAGGGGATGGTGATGGGGATGGGGATCGGTTCAACGATACCGAGTCTGGGAATCGATCGAGGACAGCGGCTGGCGGCGGAGGCGAAGCCAGACTACTCTTGCCCCCCCCCCTTCCCGACTCGGTGGCGCGCGCGCGGGAAGGGGGAAGCGAGAGGAGGGCAGGCCTGCTCAGAGGACGGCGGGGCGTGCCGGAAGCCGTCCGGCCTTCTGAGGCGCCGTCGCGGTTGCCTCCGGAGGAGGCCTGCGAACTTTCTCTAAAGGCCAGGGGCCTTCCGCTGAGCATCTTCTCAGGGTGGAGGGCTCGAGGTGAGCTCCATAGGGGCTTTCGCACCTCGAAGATCAATCCGTCTTGTGATTCACCTTCTGAAGGTTCAAGCCTCGAAATCCATCGAAGCGGCATTTCAGATGTCACCCTTTGCCCTCCGCCCAAAGAAGATGCTTGGATCCGAGCCTTCTGAGAAGGCCCGCCCCCTCTGACTCCCCCCCCCCTGGACTCGCCGCCCAATTGTGCTGGGCCGCTGGCTTCAAGAGGGTGCTTCGAGTGGTGCCGCTGGTGATCTGGCAGGCTTAGCGGGTGCTGGGCCGTGGTGCCGCGCCATGCCGTGGGGCCTCTCCCAGGGAGGGGCACTGTGGACCTCTGGCCCGAAGCTTTTTGTGCTGGGGATGGGATGCTCGCCCTCTCCGACTTGGCGGTGCGCACAAGGGGGTCTGGTCGGGGGTTGCTAGAAGTGCCCCTGGCCCAAGGTACACCCAGCTTGTCGCTCCATTTTTGAGCCCCTGGGGCCCTCTAGGCCTCGTTACGGGGTGCTCTGGAGGCCGTCTGGGCCACCCCGAGTATCCTGGGGGCACCTTGGGCCAGGGGCACTTCTAGCAACACCCGATCTGGGGAGGGGGGACAACCTGATACAGGCCGCTTCTTAGAAGGCGCCGGCCCCACACCTACAGGTCAGGCCCGCGCCCTCCAAGAAGCAGGGGGGCTCCTGAGAAGCCCTCCCCCATTCCCCTTCCCCCCTTCTGCGCGTGGCTGGCTGACTTCCCCCCCAGGCCCTCCGCCGACCCACGTGTGCGAAGGGGCCACTGGCCCAAATAAATACACACATTTGGAGGGGCCCAAGGGCCTACGTACTTGAAGGGGCCCAAGGACACATCCCAGGACTCCGCACATTTCCATCTTTTCTGGATTCTCGCCTTCCCCCCCTGAAGAAGCGCGTTCCACTGCTCGCAAAGTAGCTGCCCGCACCTGGCCTGGATCCGCTGCGGCGCTTTTCCGATCCATTACCTCGAATCAGCCGTGCGCTTTTCGAGCGTTTGCGAGCAGGCACTCTGCGAGTCGTGGAGCGCGCTCGGCGACCTTCACTTCCCATCTCTTCTACACGTTCCTGGGTATCGATGCTTACTCGTGTCTCCGTTTTTTCCTCCGGAGCCCCCCTTCTTCCTCCTCCTCCTCCTCCTCCTCCTCCTCCTCCGCCTCATTTTCCTCCTCCTCCCCCTCCCCCTCCTCCTCCTCCTCCTCCCCTCCTCCTCCTCCTCCTCCTCCTCCTCCTCCTCCTCCTCCTCCTCCTCCTCCTCCCCCTCCTCCTCCTCTCCTCCTCCCCCTCCTCCTCCTCCTCCTCCTCCTCCTTCCTCCCCTCCTCCCCTCCTCCTCCTCCCCTCCTCCCTCCTCCTCCTCCTCCTCCTCCTCCTCCTCCTCCTCCTCCTCCTCCTCCTCCTCCTCCTCCTCCCTCCCTCTGCGTCCGAAACCCTGCTTCCCCCCCCCCCCCCCCCTGCCGCCCGCGAGGGCCTGCAGCCCGGCGCCCGCGGGGGAGGCCACGGCGGCGGCGACGCACTGGAGGAGCAGCTCGACTGGCCGGGGGCCCCGCGGGGGGACGAGCAACCAGACGCAGCCAGGACGAGGATCACACCGGACGAGGACAAATCGAGGACGAAACGAGGGAAGGGCAGCGTCATCGGTGTTGGAGGCCTGGAAATGGGCACCAACACCAACACAGGGGGCTGCCTCTACAGGGGGAAGACGATCCTGGATCTCGGTGTTGGAGGTAATATTTCGGCCACCTTGGAAGCCAGAATATTACCACCATTACCGAGATCGGGATCTTCTTCCCTCGGTGGAGGCACACCGCGGAGGAGGAGGCGGAGGAGGAGGAGGAGTTGGAGGAGGAGGAGGAGGAGGAGGGAGAGGCGGAGGAAGAGGAGGAGGAGGAGGAGGAGGAGGAGGAGGAGGAGGAGGAGGAGGAGGAGGAGGAGGAGGAGGGGGAGGAGGAGGAGAAGGAGGAGGAGGAGGAGAACGAGGAGGGGGAGGAGCAGGAGGATATTGGTGTTGGTGTCAATCTCCAGGCCTGCGACGATGCCTCTTCCTCCTCTGACCCTGGCGCCCTCCTCGGCGCTTCGTGCGCCGTCCTCTCCTCAGCGCCCCCGCCGCTGCAGCCCGCTCACGTCCGCCCGCCGCCCCTCGCACTCCTGTAGGACGAAGCCAGGACGAGGATCAAATCGATGATACATCGAGGATGCATCGAGGATCACATCGAGGATGCATCGAGGATCAAATCGAGGATACATCGAGGATCAAATCGAGGATACATCGAGGATCTCTGAGGACGTCTCGGGCGCCGCGGCCCTCTCAGAGCGTTCTGGGACGCTCTGCGAGCGTTCCGGAGCGCTCGGGGACGGGCCTGTCCTTGTCGCAGCCCCGTCCAGAGCAGGTCGGGTGTGGCCGGAAGTGCCCCTGGCCAAAGGTGCCCCCCCGGAGCTCCAAGGAGGTCCCCACGACCTCCAAAGAACCCCCGATGAGGCCCGGGGGGCCCCATGGGCTCCAAGACGCAGCGAAAAGCTGGGGGTACCTTTGGCCAGGGGCACCTTCAACAACCCACGAACAGGCAGCCGCGGCTCGCAAAAGCTGGCACCACCAGCACCTCCTAAATTCGGAGAAGGGCATGGTCGAGACAATTTAGCGTCGTTTAGCCAATCCCTGTCTCTACTGGGTTGGCCTCGACCCCACTGGCCGACTTACCCCCTAGATTGGGATATATGCTGTTCCCGTCGGGTTTCCTGGGAGAGAACCCCAACTTGGGGGTGGGACAGGCCTCGCAAGAAATTAGCGAACACTCATGCCACATTCATCTGTCAATGCCCCCCCAATGATCAATGTTGGCGGTAGGTTCGATGAGTTGCACTTCGACCGCAGCCTTCCCCGCGCGTGCCAACTTCGAGTTTTGGGGGCGGGGGAGTGTCCAATGCTTGTTTCCCCTCACCAGATGATAGGGCTGAGAGAACATGGCCCCATGGGGATGGAGATCGGCGACGCGAGACTGCACACTGGCGCCCCCCCGGGCGCTTTTCGGCCCTGTTGGGCCTCCCGGAGGCCCCTCGTCGGCGGCACGGCTGGGGGGCCCGCCCCGAAACACGGGCGGGGAGGGGCCCCAGGAGGGGCCCGAGGGACCGACCTGGAGCGGGCCTCTGGGCGGGGCGGAGAGGCGCCGCGGTCTCCGCTGGCCCTCCTCCGACCACGCCTCCGGCGCCACTGTGAGAAGAAGCCCCGCCGGCCCGCCGTTCGGGGCCCTGGGGACTTCCGGGCAAGTCGCCCCGCGACGGGGACACCGGTTTCGGGCATGGGGTCTGGAGGTCGCCCCGGAGCCGCGGCAGCGACAACGGCAGCGGAGGTCTGTCGGAGCAACGCCAGTGTACCATGAGCTGGCGTGCGCGAGTCGGATGCCAACTTCCCAAAGAACAATATGGAAGATACGTGCCGGGGAGCACCACAGTAAACAGTGGGGGACAGACGGCAAGGGTCAACTGCAGGAGGAAGCATGCAGCACGAGCTGGCGGAACAGAGCCAACCTCTGGGCGAACCAAAACATGCCGATAGTGCTGCTCCTGGATCTCTCCCGCGGTGCGTTGAGACCGGGATTCTGATGCAAATCTGGCTGTAGCTGCGAGGCCCCCCCCAAGAGGCCTTTGAAGGCAAAAACGATTGCAAAGAAACTCTTGGCACAGGTGCCGCTATGCTCTTCTCCCGTGAAGAGATGGGGGCAATGTAGCCTTCCCCAGTGCGAGACAGCCACCTCTGCCATTCCGCTGGCAGCTGGGTCCGTTCCCTAACCCCACCTTGGGATGTCTCACCCTCTACGAACCCCCGAAGTGGGCACCGGTAGTGGGGACGATCAACCATACGGCGAGGTCCTGTCGTGCGGACGTGGCTGCCGGCTTCCAGCGCCGCGTAGATCGTTCGATATTTAGCGATTTCCGCTGTCCGACGGCGCAGGTCGTCCAAAGCTAGCCTGGGTCAGGCCGCCAGCGGCCCTCAGCCTTGAGCGCCAGCACCTGGCGTCCACTGCCACGCCGACGCGGCGCGAAGCGGCCCTGAACATTTCTCATAACGATGGCCTGACCCTCCCCCTCAAGGCACCCTCGTCCTTCTTTACAGCGCCCGGAGCTCGGTGGCCCCCTGAGTCTTTCCCCCCTCTTGGACGCCCTCGACGTACGGCGGGCCATGGGGGCCTGCAGGGATCAAGAACGCCAACGTCTTGCCCGAGCCAGTGCAGGCCTCAACGGCCACGTCCCGGTGGTTCAGCAACAGCGGGATGGCGATGGCCTGATCTGAAGAGGCGGAGGAGGAGGAGGAGGAGGAGGAGGAGGAGGAGGAGGAGGAGGAACAAAAAGAGGGGGAGGAGGAGGAGGAGGAGGAGGAGGAGGAGGAGGAGGAGGAGGAGGAGGAAAAGGAGGAGGAGGAGGAGGAGGATTCTTCTACAACGACGCTGAATGCATCGTGGTCGACGGTCAGGTCGCGCCCTCAGATCGCCGGCGACCGCCACCGCCGCCTAAAGCAAGAAAGCCATCACCAGCTACCAGACCGGTATACGTCGACCTCACTGCTCTCGAAACTTTCGTAGCGCAATGCAACGACAAAAACAACGACCACAGACAAACAACAACAACTCGACGGAATCAACCGTCATCACTGCACCATGGACGCAATGAGCTACCCACGCTACCCCGACGAAAACAACAACGCGAACCTTCCCTCCGCCCGTAAGCATCCCCAGGACCGCTCCCTCACCCGCCCTGTCTGCCTCGGCAAGCAGCGGGTACTGTCATCCTGTGATTAACATCAACAAGCGAGGAACGTCATTGAACACATTGTTCACCTGCTCTGGCGAGATCGCGGGGGGCGCGTCCGCCAAACGGAAGCACGCGTCGGCGGCGCCGGCGATTCGTGCCGGCACCCGGCAGACAGCAGGAGGGCGACAGGCGAGACGCAAGCGGCGCCGCTTCAGCGGAGGGGAGACCAGCGCCGCCGTTACAGCGGGGCGCCAGGGCTCAAATGGCTACAGACGGGATGGACCGAGAAGGCGGGGGAAAAAGGCGCCTCAGCTGGCGGGCGGTGCCGACATGGCTACAGACAAGACAAGGAAGAGGGGAGAAAAGCAGCATCTCCAGGCGGCAAAAGGCTCTTCCTTCCCTTTCTCCCCCTTCTCCCCCCTCCAATACAATGTACGACGACGACGGCGACGGCGGCGGCGGACGACGATGCATTGCGGATGCTCCATGCGGGTGGGTGGGGGGTGGGCGGGGGTGCTGCGCATGCCCGCTGTAGTCGTCGACGGCGACGACGACGAAGCGACGACGACAACGACGACGACGATGACGACGGTATCGGTGACGGTGAGGGTGACGGTGACGACTGCGCTGCGAGTCCCGTTGCAGTCGACGACGACGACGAAATCGCGACGACGACGGCGACGACGACGACGCCGCAATGCGGATGCCCCATGGGTTGGGGGGGGTGCTGCGCAGGCCCGCTGTAGTCGACGACGACGATGACCCTCCCTTTGGCCAGGCTTGATTTGTCAGTCGAGGCGCGGCGCTGGGTGATTAACGTGTTGAAAACCTCATGCGAGCGACACACTGCATGCAGCGAGCGTGCCGAGAGACCCGAATCCACCACAAACTTTTGCCGAGGTGAGGGTTTACCTAAGGCGGGCAGAAAAAAAGGCTTGAGGGATCAGTGGCAGCAGCGGTCGTCAACATTACCATAGACATTCGCATGACCCTCCTTTTAGCTAGGCTTGATTTGTCAGTCGAGGCACGGCGCTGGGTGTTTTCAACGTGTTGAAAGCCTCACGCGTGCGACACACTGCGTGCAACGAGCGTGCCGAGAGACTCGACTCCCCTGAACACGCCGTTCACATGCACTATACTTGCGAGCGAACGATTGCAAAGAGCTGAGCGTGGAGTTCCAACTAAAATTCCTCCTCCTCTTCCTCCTGTTTCTCGTCGTGCTCCAAACGAATCAATTTGGCGGGCCGGGCGTCCTGGCTGGGTCCACAGTGTATGATCCTGAAGCTGGGCCCCCAAATGTCCGAATTCATGTGCGTGGAACGTCATAGCTGGAACGTCATCGCCGCCATCGCCATTGCATCGGCGATGCGGCGCGATCGTCCGACCCCATCTCTTCGGACCCCATCTGGGGGCCTGAAGCCCTGGGGCCTTCCCCACGACCCGCCCTTCGCCCCGGGCCATTCTTTGATGAACCCCCGGGGCCCGCGGATGGCCCCTGATGCCCGAAGTCGGCGAGAAACCTCAAGGGCCCTGCCTCCCCCAGGGCCCCTTCCCCCTCCATGCCGAGGGGAGGAGGCCAGCAATCGGAGCAGGGCGAGTTGAGACAGCGGCGGCTCAAAACCGGTCCCCCCAGCCCTCCGGGGGCCCTGCACGCCTCAATTGTCGGAGCTGCGGCCAGCCGGGGCGACCCAGGCGAAACCTGGCGAGCACGCGCGCGGTGAAAAAACACGCGCGCAGGGAAACCTGGCGAGCACGCTCTGAAGCAGGGACGAGTGGGCCAGAAAACAAACGACACCACCCCACCGACGGCCCCACTCGGCGGCGACGACAAAGGGCGAATAGCCCAGGGGCGGGCATTACACGTATTCGCCCGGGAGCCTTGTCGAAGGCATAAATCATCAGCGCCCCTGGATACATGCATTGCTCCCCCCTGGGCTATTCGCCCCTATCGTCGCCTCTGACCCAGGGGGCGCAGCGCGCACCAGGCAGTCCGGGGTGGCTTTCTACATGGTGTGCGCTGCGGCCCCCGAGGGGCCGCAGCGCAGCAAGGAGGGCCGCAGCTGGGGTGGTGCGGGCTCGGCCGAGCCACGGGCGGGCAGCGGCGGCGAGCGCGCGCGCGGAGGCCCCCCCCCCCCCACCCGGCCCCCCGGACTGGGCGGGACGGCCGAGTGTCAAGTCGGGCGTGTCCCCCTACAGGGGGATTTTCGACGGGGGAAACAACTCGAAAAATAATCCCCCTGTAGAGGGACAGGGCCGACCGAAGGGCCGAGTGCGGTGCCCCTCCCCCCGCGGCCGCCGCTCCTGCACGGGGGTCATCCGCTTGAAGCCCGTCTCGCCGATGAAGCGCTGGGCGCGGGGTCGGGCGGCATGTCGGCGGAGCAGCTGCACGGATGGAAGGCGGTTCCTGTTCGAAGCGGTGGCTGTTGCCAGGTACTCCGCGTAGTTTTTGTTTTTTGTTGTTGCTTTATGTTTTGTTTATATATATATAGATATATAAACCAACCTTGCCGCATTCCCCATAGTTCGGAAGACTGCGGGCCGCGTCTTTTGAAACGTAGCCTCCGCCCGAGCTGCGGGCCCATGGGGCGAGGGCGGCGCCTCGTGCAACGGAGCAGAACGCTTGTAGAGACGCCTGAGGAGGGGAGTTCGGACGGGAGGGTGTCTGGCAGCATCGTCGACGCATCCTGGGTCTCCACGGGGCTTCTTTTTCGGACTCCTCCTCCTCCACCTCTTGGAGGCTTGGGAATGGGCACCAACACCAACACAGGGGGCTGCCTCTACAGGGTGGAAGATGATACTAGATTTCGGAATTGGTGGTCATATTTCGGCCACCTTGGGAGCCAGAATATTACCACCATCACCGAGATCGGGATCTTCTTCCCTCGGTGGATGCCCACTGCTGGTATTGGAGTTGGTGTCAATCTCTAGGCCTGCGAACCTCCTCCTCCTCCTCTGATTGCTTGAAGACGAGCCGACAAGCCTCGAAACGAATGACACGCCGCGCCTCCCTCCTCCTCCTCCTACTCCTCCTCCTCCAGTCATCATCGTCATCATCATCAGCATCATCCTCATCATCGTCATCACCATCATCATCATCATCAGCGGCAGCCTCATCATCCTCAGCATTATCATCCTCATCATTATCAGCAGCATCATCACCATCACCATCACCATCACCACCACCAGCATCATCACCATCGCCACCACCATCACCACCACCATCACCATCATCATCATCATCATCACCACCATCATCACCACCACTTTCATCATCCTCATCATCGTCATCATCATCATGGTCGTCGTCGTCATCATCGCCATTACCATCATCTGCATCAGCATCACCCACATCATCATCATCATGATAATCAAGATCCTCATCATCATCACCATCATCATCACCATCATCATCACCAGCACCAGCACTATCACCATCACCATCACCATCACCATCATCATCACCACCATCATCACCATCATCACCATCATCATCATCATCATCAGCATCATCATTATCATCATCATTATCATCATCATAATCATTATCATCATTATCATTATCATCATTATTATTGTTATCATCGCCATCACCATCACCATCACCATCACCATCATCATCATCATCATCACCACCATCATCATCATCATCATCATCATCATCATCATCATCATCATCATCATCATCATCATCATCATCACCATCACCATCACCATCACCACCACCATCACCATCACCATCACCATCAGCCTCCATACCCCTGCCCCTCTCGTCCCCCCCCGACCCCCCCTCCCCCTCGCCCCTCGCTGCGCCACTCCCTCCCCTGGGTGAGGCGGGCTCCGGGCCTTCGTGGGCTCGGAGACCTGCAGCTTCTCCCAGTCGCGTGACCTTGGGCGCCGACGGACGACCCACGGCAGGATCGGGGCCGCCCCGGGCAAAACCCTCGGGCGCCCTTCGGTGTGTCGGCGGCGCGCAGAGGGGGGTAGGGCGGAGGGGGGAAGGCTTCTTAGGAGGCTGCTTCTTAGAAGGCGCCGACCTCACATCTACAGACAAGGCCCGCGCCTTCGAAGAAGCAAGTGTGCTTCTGAGAAGCCCTCCTCTCTCCCCCTGCTCCCCCCCCCCCCTGCGCGCGGCCGAGTGTTTGTGTGTGGGGGGGTCGCCCAGCCCAGGCCGCCCGCGCAGGCACGTCACACTCAACTGCGTGGGCGGTGGTGGCCCCGGCAGCCCAGCACTGACGTGTCGAGGCAGTGACATTACGGGTTGTTCTGAGTCTTAGCCTCTCACCTTCCACAGTCAGGGGGGGTGATTCTTTCTCGTTCTGCTGTGGCATACACCATTTTCAGAGGACCTGTGCTTCACGTTCTGATCTGCTAACATGCGTGGCCCCAGAAATTCAGTCCTGCGCTTCTCCATGCTGAGGCTGTGTCTCGAGACCTGGGTCGAGGTTGGCTCCCTAGATGCCACCTAGATGGGGTCAGAGTAGATGGGGTCGGAGGATCGCGCCACATCGCCGATACATCGGCGATGCATCGGCGATGCATCGTCGACGTCGGCGATGCATCGTCGCCGTCGCCGTGAAGAGAATCGGGCTCGGCATCGAGCCGCATCGCCGATACCGAGCGATCCTCCGACCCCATTTACTCCGACCCCATCTGGGAGACTTAGACTCCCCCGTGCCTCCAGCTGGATGGCATCGAGCATTTGCTGTGGGGCGGCGGGCGTGGACGGGAGTGGCCCTGCCCCGAGGAGCGTGCCCCCAGGGCTGCCGGGGAGGGCCCCCGGTGGCCCCCCCTGCGGCGCCAGGCGAAGCTCTGGGGGAGGCCTCGACGGGGGAGTGTCGAGAGGCGTAGCCTTAGGTCGGGCGCGTCCCCCTACAGGGGGATTTTCGACGAGAAATAAAAAACTCAAAAAATACTCCGACATGGTTAAAAAATACAAACAAAATAGTCCCCAGTCTATTTTTTGATCATTTTTGCAGATTCCCCCTGTAGAGGGACAGGCCCGACTTAAGCGTAGCCGAGGATCGGCGGGGGGGCTCTCTGACAGCAAGACGGCAGGCTCACGCCCCGATCGGCGCCGACGGGGCGATGGGGGGGTCGATGCCTTCCTCCCAGAGGCCTCCCGTGGTCGTCACCGCCCCTGCTCCTCCAGAGGCCTCCAGAGAGAAGTCCCCAGAGGCGAGGCGAAGCGAGGCGAGAGCGCGCGAGTTCGGTCCGGCGGGACCAGCCCTCATAGGGCGGCGCGGGGGGGCTGGAACCCCAAAGAGACGTGTTGGGGGCATGAGTCGGAGCCGGAAACGGAGTCGGAGAGATGGATGGGAACTGGAGTCGGAAAGGTGTGAACAGGAGTCGGGGAAGTCCCCAGAGGCCTCCTCCGGTCCAGGAGAGGGCCAGCAGCGGCAGCTGCAAAAACACCTGGGTCCTTCGACCTTTCTTCCCCCTCCTCCCCCGAGTCCGACCGCTGACCGTGATGTGGGGAGGAATTGGAGACTCCCCTCAACGTTCTTTATGCTTTTTCTCTTTTTGTTTTCTCCAGAGAAAACACCAGACGATGAAAACTGCCAGCTTCCCAACTGATGGGACGATGACTCCACCAAGCAATGCCAGAGGTGATCGGGACCCCTGTCTCGAGCAGTGCAAAGCAGTGGCCAGGCCCAACCGTTCGTGTGACGACGGAGAGACCCCAAACAGCAAGCAGGCAGAGAGAGAGAGAGAGAGAGAGCAGCCGCTCAGGGAACCCTCCCCCCCACCGCTGCTGGACACGTCGATGAGCCAGCCACGCCGCCTGCCCACGCGAGATGGCTCCCAGGGGTCGCGTCGCTCGCGCGGGTGCCGCCGGACGTGCTGGCCGACCTCCGTGACCTCGCACACGCTCTGGCCCCCGGGGGGGCCCGGCGGGCGCAGCGCCCCAGGCACCCCCTGCGGCCCCGTCGGGCCACGGCCACCGAGTGGGCCGCGGGCCGCCAGATCGGCCGACCTCCGAGATCTCGGGATGCCGCAGCCCTGCGTCCCCGGGGGGGCCTGAAGTCATCGGGTTCCCCGCCTCCGCCTCCGCACACCTCTTGGCGCCGGCGCCGCAGGTTGGGGCCCGGGCCAGCCCCGGGGAAGCCGCGTCGGGGTGAGCCTCCGTCCTCCCCGAGAGGTGGGCCATCGCAGGCCTCGCTGGCGGATCTGTCGCGAGGTCTCAGGGAAGTGATTTTGAGGACGAGGGGTGGGGGGGAGGAGGCGGGAGAAGTGAGGGAGGGATCAGGGGACACAGAAGAGGACAAAGGATGATGCTGAGGATGAGGATGATCATGATGCTGATGATGGTGCTGCTGCTCATGATGCTGATGCTGATGCTGATGATGATGGTGGTGATGATGATGATTGTGGTGACGATGATGCTGCTGTTATTGAAACTTAACATGATCATGGATATGAGTACGAACACGAATATGAATTACATGATGATGGTGATAAGGGTGGGAAATCGTATGGTGATGGTGATAATGATGGTGACGGTGGTGATCATTATGACGTTGATGACGATGATGACGATACTGATGGCTATGGTGATGTTGATGATGATGGGGGGGGGATGGGACAGGGGCAACGGAGAAACAGGGAGGATATTGAGGCTGGTGGAGGCAATGGGAGTGCGGAAGGGAGAGATGGGCAATATGCTGATCATAGGGATGATGACCATGATGATGATGATGATGATGATGATAATACTAATGATGATGATGATGATGAGGATGATGATGTTGAGGATGATGACAGGCAGACAGGCCACTTGCGAGCCATCGTTTGGCATCTGATACCCTAGGGAAAACGCACCGCCTTAATTGGACCATCTTACATGGATTAAGTGGCTCCGTGTTGCGACGTTGATGGTGATGCTGCTGCTGCTGCTGCTGCTGATGATGATGATGATGGGGTGCTCTTCATGACGCTGAGAACAACACTGCTGCTGATGATGACGTTGATGGGAAGTGGAGGGACAGGGCCGATGATGCTGATGATGATGGTGATGATGACGATGATGATGAAGATGATGATGATGATGATGATGGTGATGATGATGATAACGAGGATGGTGTTTCTGGGAATGTCGATGGTGATGCTGCAGACGAGTATGCCAATGCTGTTGAGTATGCTGGTGCTGATGCGGATGCAGCTGTTGCTGACGACGATTACGATGGCGCTGATGATGCTGATGCTGCTGCCGATGATGCTCATCATGCTGTTGCTGATGAGTGTGACGAAGATGCTGATGAGGATGATGATGCTGCTGATGGTGATGGTAATGACGATGATGACTTGGTGATGATGATAAGAGTGATGTTGCTGACGATGATGATGATGATGATGATGATGATTATTCCCCCCAAACTCCGTTAACTGTCAAGAGAGGAGGGGGCCCTGTTTTGGCGACGACCGCGAGCACAGCCGCAGGCATTCCGCCCTGGAGTGTTGAGGCCCAGTAAAGCGACCGGCGTGCTGACCCCCCCCCCCTTCGCGACAGGAGGTGCGTCGCGCATTCGTCGCCCGTGCGCCGCCCGTGCGTCGGCCGCCGAAATGGCCAGCCGTCCTCTCGAACGTGCACGTCGCCCTCGCAAGGGGGCAATTTGGTGAGTGCGTCGCCAGCGCGGCGGACGCCCACGGGGCGGATCGCACGCGCGTCGCCCTCTCCACAGCCGCTGAAAAGGCTGGTTGCCTTCTGGAAACAGAAAGTCGCCCACGCTGCGGCCCTCTTGGCGAGAAAAAGGCGGCCGCTGGGCGACCTCGGCAGATCAGCAAATCCCCTAACATTACACATGCAGCGACGCTGCTGAACGCAGCCCGGCGATAGGCCAGCAGGTCCCCGCAGCCGCCGCCACAACCGCCGCAACCGCCGCCAGCGCAAAACTACCGCCGCCACGATCACCACAAACGGATGCGACCGCAACCACATCCACCGCGACGATAACGACCAACACCAATTACCGCCATCACCACCACCACGACCACCACGGTTCTCGCGACCGCCACAACGACCGACACCAGCACGATCACCGACGTGACCACCACCAGCCCGCCCACCACCGGCGGCACGACCGCCGCCGACGCGACCAAGGCGACGAACGCGACCACGACCATGATCACCAACATGACCATTACAGAAGCACCCGCCCACTCCGTCCTCCCCCCCCTCCCCCCCATTCCCCTGCTGGGCCGCCCTTGCCGCCGCGCCCGCCTCGCGCCCCTGCCCCTCCCCCCTCCTTTTCTCCTCGTAATCTTCCTCTTCCACCGCCGGCGGCGGGGCCGTTAGCGGAGGGCGGGGGCGCCGCTCGCGGCGACGCGCCGCGGCCGTGGAAGGGGGGCCGAAGGAGAACAGAAAATGAAGAGGGGCACGGGGCGGCAAGGGGAAAAAAACAAAGACGAGAGAACAGGGGGGAGGGACAGACAGAGGGTGGCCGGCAGAATGGAGGAGGAGAAGGGGAGGAGAGAGGGAGACGAGGCAGGAGAGAGGACGAAGGAGGAGGAATGACAAAAGAGGAGGGGCGACGACTAAGACAAAGGGAACTAACAGGGGCAAGCACCGCCCTTCCTGGCGCAATAGAGGACGCAGCCGCCGCCACTTGTGAACAGCGCAAGCACGGCGGGCCGACGGCCGTTGCGCATTGCTGCTCGGAGACATGCTAGGGGCGGGCAAAGTCGCGACTGCGTCGCGCATGCGTCGCGCGTGCGTCGCGCGTGCGTCGCGCGTGCGTCGCGCGTGCGTCGCGCGTGCGTCGCGCGTGCGTCGCGCGCGTGGCGCGCGCGTCGCGCGTGCGTCGCGCGGGTCGATCGTGCGTCGCGCGCTGGCAGGGGTGCGTCGCGCGCGGGTCGGGGTGCGTCGCGCGCGCGTCGCGCGCGCGTCGC